CAAAATTATGATGTACAAGCATGACTTGAAAGAAGGGATATGAGAAAATATTCCCACCTTACCCCTTTGAAGAGGTGTGAGGACCACAAGTGTTGTACATTATAAATATTTTCAGACCTTTTTTTAGGGCTATATAGATTTTTCCTTTTGTCTTTAAAGAAAATTTTGTGATATGGGATGGCTTTCTGAAAGGGAGATGGGGAAAGATACTGGGGGGGAGCTACAGTGATGTAAAAAAACCAAAGTACATCTATTGGAATGCTATTGTGATGAAGAAATGATGTGCTGGTTGATTTTAGAAAAACATGGAAAGACTTGAATGAAATAATGAAAAGTGAAATGAGCAAAACCAAGAGAATGTCGTATATAGTAACTGCAATATTGTTCAAAGAACAACTGTGAATGACCACATTATTCTGAGTATTATAAATAATCAAATCACCTAAAAAGGGCCTATCAAGAAAGACACTATCTACCTCCAGAGAAAGAACTGATAAATAGAAGTATGCATAGTATGGTTTTACATATATTTATAAATCTGTGTCAAATAGTGGCTTTCTCTAGTGTGGGGTGGGAAGAGAGGGAAGGAAACAGTTTAGAACTGAAAATGTAACAAAAAATTAATTTAAAAATACATCAATAAAAACTGATTTTGAATTAAAAAAAAAAGTCAGGGGCTCACTGGAGGTGGTGGAGAAAATTACCATTGAGGGGCAGCTAGATACAGCACTGGCCAGGGAGTCAGGAAGACCTGGGTTCAAATGTGGTCTCAGACACTTGACACTTACTAGCTGTGTGATCCTGGGCAAGTCACTTAATCCTGATTGCTTCTCAAAAAAAAGAAAAAAAAGAAAAAAGAAAAAGAAGAAGAAGAGGAAAAAATGACTAATGGGCAGAAGGAAAATCCCAACACCTGGCCTGGCTTACCAAAAGATAAGTAATTTGAAAGGACATAGTGGAGAGCTGAAGAGAAAAATGCTGATTCAGAAATCTTGCATAATAATTCATGTTTTGATGTTTTAAAGCATCAAACTCCCAGAAGAGTATAACAGTATTTAGAAGAAGAATGTTTTGTTTTAGAAAACAGAAAGGGGAAAAAAATAATTTCTTTTGTATAGAAAAATAGCTGTACTATTCTTGATTTCCACTGTACACTGGATAGCTTCTTATTACATACTTGGAGACGAGCTCAGGAGCTAAATTCAAGTTTAAGTGATTTTCCCTGGACCCTGGGTAGGGGCATAAAGAGCCAGAGACAATAAGAAAAGAAACCTGACTCCTGGAGAGTCCAGCTCTGCTAGGACCAAAACCACTCCGTGCAAATGATTTCAGAGCTCAGAGGGCAAGGGCTCCCTCCTTCCTGGGTCGAGCAGGACTTCTGTGTGTGTGATTTCACCAATGTAGCCTTGGGTAAATCATTTCACCCATTTTGGTTTTGGTTTTCAAATCTAAATTAGACTCTCTTTACTTCCTGTGTGACTTTGGGCAAGTCCCTTAACTTCCTTGGGCCTCATTTTCCTCGTTTACTGTGAAGTAAGGGAGTTTCATTATATGGTTTCTGAGGTCCACCGCAAGTGTAGATTTATGATCTTATGATCTTTAAGGCCTCTTCCACCTCTAAATTATATGATTCTATAGACTAGATCCTATAGATCCTAATAGACTGAATGCTTTGGGAAACATTGATGATATGGATTTTTCTTTCCTCCAGCAGAATTATTGTATAAATATAGGTAAAGTTCTTGCCGAAGACACTGAAATAGGGATATTATGCAAAATAAAATAATCATAGGATTCTAGTATGTCTTAAAATAGGATTCTGTTGTACTTTTCTATGAATGAAAAATTCTCTAGTATTGTTAAGCAATTCCTTTTTCTTTGCTTAATGAGACTGAACAATTTTATTAGTATTCCAAACCACTCTGATCACTGAAATTTTTCTAACTGAATATAGCTGTAATTCAGTCCTGAGATATTAAAATAATCCATCTCTTCCTTTCCTATGTAGGGGAAACCCAAATGGTGCTTATTCTCTTCTCCTAGAAGGTTAATAAATCAATGAACTTGCCTAGTCTAAAAAAAAGGACTGACATGCCCTGAGAGAGGATACAAGTGTGGAATGATGATTGCACCTACATAACCACAAAGGAAAACAGTTGTATTTGCCCCAAAAGGAAAGGAAATGGATGGAAACTATTAAGGAAATAATTTCTTATCCAAATGAATTTTTAAAAAATGAGCAGCATCTTGTAATCTGGGCAGTGTACAATTTTTGTTCTTTTTGTTTTTCAAGAGTCAGTAGCTAAGGTGCAGCTGGGTGATACAGTGAATACAGCGCAGGCCCTGTAGTCAGGAGAACATTATTTCAAATTCAGCCTCAGCCTTGGACACTTAGTAGCTGTGTGACTTTGGGTGAGTCATTTATCCTGACTGCCTCAAAAAAAAAAAAGTCAGTTGCTAGCCAAGGTTTATATTTGAATGACTATCTATGTATTTCAAAAGGGAAAGCCCATAATATACAAGTATTCCATGCAGTGATGTCATCTGTTGATAGCCTCTGGAAAACCTGGCTTACCCCTGAGGCGAGTCTGAGGTTGATAGCCAATAAATGGTTAAACAAAGCTATCTTTGTGGTCACGTCTGTCAGAGAATCTTGAATGACTTTAATATATGTGTGGGACACACCCTGAGGGGAGTCTTTAAGGCTCCCTTTTGTACTCCACAGTCAGAAACATTCTGAAATTCATAAAAGTATTATGGTATAGTGGGGAAAGCACTTATATCTGGAGTTAGAGCTGGGTTTGAATCTTGGCTCTGACACTTAACTTCTTGGTAACACCATCCAAATCAGTTAACTACTTAGTTTCCTGGTGTATGAAATAAAGATAATGATTCCTTTCTGTGTTAAATGAAAAGCGCTTTATAAGTCTTTAAGCACTCTATAAATTCAAGCTATCATTATCCCTGAGAGGGACGTTCAGTAATGGATAGAGACCCAGCTCTGCCATTGGGAAATCTTGCCTCTGACACAGACTGGCTGTGTGACTCTGAGGAATTCACTTCACATTTTCCTGGGAGTTGTGGGACAGGTTCTGTTCTGCCTTGATAGAGTTTCCTCACTATGAGCTCCCCATGTCAATGACATCACAGGTTCAGGACAAAAAAATCACTCTCATTCCAAGCAATAAGCACAGTGAGATCTTAAATATTCTTTACCTCTCAGCTGCATGACTTCGGAGTAGCACATGTATAGTTAAAAAATGACTCATTTCTTACTTGCACAACCAGGAGGATAAATGGCAATTGGACCTTCTTTATCAAGATAAAGTATAATAGACCAGAAAATTTGTGTTATAAACTTGTCTCTTGGACATAAGTAATACATTTTGGGATAACAACCACTTATCATCACCCTACCATTAAGTTTATTAGGAGCCATGCATGTGACATGCTCCCTGGAAATTCAATTTTTTGTAATTTTAATATTTGTAATACACCAATAGTGTTTGCTCTAAATAGTAAGAATAATTAAAACAGGTGTGTACAGCCTTCAGTATTCTGCCTTTGTGACCTCTGGGGAGGACTAATGGACTTTGCTCTACCTGGGCTAAAGACTATTCTAAAGTTTTAAATGAAAAGCAGCCCAGCAATCTGTCTGGTGAGTTGTGCTTATGGCATATACTGTACTTGTATTTATCATTTCCACAGCTATTCAAAATGGTGATTTTAGTCAGAGAAATTCTTCCCTTTGTGATTTTTTGGTAGATGAGAAACTATTCTCAAATACTTTGAAGGTTATTTTCTGAAGGGAAAGGCCTGGGATTCTGAGGCTGTTTCCCAATCTTTGATGGGACCAAGGATTATATTGATTAGAGCAGGCCCACAGCAAAGGGCTTGAAAGAAATCAACTCTGGCTAAAAGAAATCATGCTCTCAGAAAGTAGGAAATTACTATTATAATTAAGAAATTAATACTTGGGGAGCAATATGGCATAGTGAAGAGTCAAAAGAGTCAGAAGGAGTCAGAAGACTTGGGTTCAAATACTGATTGTGCCACTTACAACCTATATGACTTTAGGAAAGTCACTTAATCTGTTTGGTCACGGTTTCCTCATTTGTAAAATAAGGGAAGCGGGGTGGATTAGATGATTTTTAAGGCCCCTTCTAGCTCTAAGTCTTGGATTCTATGATTTCTTCAGATACACAGTGAAATTAGAACTAAGGATAGGATGGACAAATCTGGTAAAGGTCAGAGTAAGGCTGGATATAATATTTACAAATATGCTGCTTTAATGACTTTATATTCAGCAGACATAATGGCATTTGTGAATAAGTATATTTCAGATATGACAGTGAACCAGATAATTCTAAGTTTTTCCAACTGGGATATTACGATACTACACAGAAAATACCTGTAATCTGTAATCGGGAGCTTATACTCTTTTAAACCAAAATTTGCTTCCATTTTTCAAAGTGATCAAAAATACTTCCCTGTATTTCAACTACAGATTGGAGTACAATTAATCAGACCTTGGGAGCTAAGTGCTTTCAGTACAACTTTAGAGCTACTAAGGCCCCAACTGGGTTAGGGCTATAGTAAGCCTGGGATTCTGTTGCTGCTTTGGGTAGGGTGATCTATATAGGGTCAGTATAACAGACTTGCCTAAATTGATTGGGAGTTCTTTCTTGAGAGTACAGACTATCTATGGGGATGGTCCTGGAGAAGCATAGTAAAGTTAAGGTAGAAATCTTAAAAAATAAATATCTGATAGGAGCTGTAAAACTACCTATTCTGGATTACCATTTGGGTTTGGACCCAAATGGATCTTCCACCCACCTAAACCGTATCCCTCAATAGCTCTCAGTAGCACTGAAGGTGCCCTAGATTTTGGGGTAATGGGCAAAGGCTACTTGAGGACCTTGTCAGATGCCAGGGCAATAAAAAACAGAACGACCATATGCCAGGGAGTTATGATGGGGGCATGAGTCCCCTTTTCATACCTTTTCTCCCATGGATACACCCCCTGATGTGATGATGACATCCGCACGACTAGTACCTTCATTCAAGGCATTGAGTAAGTCATCTGGGCTGTAAGAAAATGAAAAGAAATTAACATATAGAAAAAAAGATACAGATATAGTACAAACTTAAAGTAAACCACTTTATTCTTTGAGTGAGCACTGAGCACCAAGGACAGCATTACTAGGCACTGAAGGGCATAAAGAAAAGTATAAATATGCATATACACACAAGTATATTACACATAAGCATAAGACCTGGTCCCTAACCTTCACAAGTTTTTAATTTGGTTGAGGGAAAAAAGATCTCCTCAAATGACAGTTTTGTGCAGGCATTATAGAATTAAGTTCCAAAATGAGTTATATATAGATACAAATGATAGTGATGTTAATGAAGACATTATGGAAGAGGTAGGCCTTGAACTAAAGGGAAGGCTGGACATAAGAGAAGGGACAATGCTGTTCCTGGTACTAGCACTGTCATGAGTAAAAGCTTAGAGTTATTACTAAAACAGAAATGTTAGCAACCTGTGACTGCATAAACTCCCATGGGTTTAATTATCATTTCTATGCATATCATTCTCAGATCTAGTTATCTTGAGAGTCTGGATATAGTCATGTACTCCCAACTGCCTATTGGACATTTTGAGCTGGATATCCTACAGGAATCTCAAACTTGACATAGCCAAAACAAAAATCATTATGTTTCCTTTTCATACTTCCATTTTACTGCCCACAGAAACTAGTCCAAATCTCTTCTTAAGCCTCTCACCTTTCCCCCACTGTCAACTCTCAGCTGAGGACCTTACCTCTGACCTTACTGAGGAAGGTGGAGGCTATTCAGCATCTTCCTTCTTCTCTTCTCCATATTTCAAAACCAATTGGCGTCTTTTCCAACTTTTCTTTTTTCTCCTAGTCTCTGATAATGAATAAGGTAGCTCTTCTCCTAGCCAAGAGCCAACCCCTCTATGCCTTCTACCTTGTTTTGTCTTCTCCAGTAGATTTCCCCCATGATCGTCCCATCTGTCTGTCTGTCGGTCTGTCTCTCTCCCCCTCTCCCTTCCTCCCCCTCCTTCCCTCTCTCAGTTTTAATTATCATTCTTATGCAAATGACTGCAAGATCGATATAGCCAACCTAGTTTTTCCCTTGAATTTCAGTCCTGCATTGCCAACTGCCTAAGAGACATTTTAAACAGGATGCCCCATAGACAACTGAAGCCCAACATGTCCAAAAGAGAACTCAATAAATTTTCCCACCAAATAAACACTTCTTCTAAACTTCCCTATTTTTGTTGAAGTGTACCACTCTTCTTCCAATCTCCCAGGTCTGTAATCTTGTAAGACCAAGGTGTTGTCTTTGACTCCTTGTTCTCTCACAGCACATACCTAATTAGTTGTTAAATCTTGATGTTTCTAGCTTGAGGCCATCTCTTACCCATACATCCTTCTCTCCATTCACACAGCCACCACTCTAGTTCAGGCTCTGATCACTCCTCACTTGGATTACTGCAATTGCCTCCTAACTGCTTCTCCCTGTCTGAAGTCTCTTCCCTGCTTGAGTGGGGAAGCTTCTTACAGTGGCCAAAATGATTTTCCTTAAAAGAAGATCTGACCATAAATCTAATAATCACTTCCTTTTGTCGTTAGGATCAACAGATTCTTCTGTTGAGCTTTTAAAGCTCTTCCCATCTTGGTCCCAATCTACCTTTTCATCCTTGTCTCCTTCCCACACCCTGTCCCCCAGTCTAGTCAGCACTACATTCCTGTCTCTACTATGGGTCTGTTACTACTGGCTGTTTTCACGCCTGGAATTCATTCCCTTGTCATTTACACCTCATAGAATCCCTATCTTCTTTCAAGATTCAGCTTGGAGACCACCTTCTGTATGCAGTCCTTCTTGATTCCCCATTTATAATGCTCTTCCCCTTCTAACTATCATTTATTTTCTTTACTGTTATTCTGTATATACTTATATATACACTTGTCTTCCCAGACAGACTATAAGCTCCTTGGGATTATGGAATTTTAATCTTTGCACTTGTGTCCCCAGTGCTTAACACAGAACCTGGAATGTAGTAGATACTTAATAAATGCTTGTTGGTTGATTTCCTCCCAAACCAACCCCTCTATTCTAGTCACTCAGATTCACACCTCCATGTCCTCCTCAACTCCTCACTTTAATTTATCCCACATGTGTAATCAGTCGTTGTCTTCCCCATGAGATTGTAAGCTATTTGAGAGGAAAGACTGTCTTTTGCTGCTTTTTGTGTCCCCATCACTTAGCACAGTGCTTGTCATCTAGTAGGCACTTAATAAATGTTTACTGAACAATGATCCAAGACAGCTCCAAATGACTCATGATGAAACATGCTATACATCTCCAGATGAACTCTGAGTGCAGATTGAAGCACATTGTTTTTAACCTTTTTTTTGCAACATATGTCTAATATGGAAATGTTTTATATGACTTAAAATCAATAAACAAGCATTTATTTAAAAAAATAAATGTTCATTAATTGATGGCCAAATCTTATCCTTTCTACTTCCACACTGATTCCTTCTTTCTATCAAAACAACTATGACTCTAATTCAGGCCCTCATCAACCTTTGCCCTAATACTTCTATTCACTGAGCTTCCTTCCTGCCTCAAGTTTCTTTTCACTCCAATCCATACTCCATATAGCTGCCAGATTGATTTTCCAAAATGTTTAAGTTTGACCATGTAACTGCCTATCTCAGTAAAAGTCAGTATAGACTCTTCTGTAAACTGGCCTTTCTCTTCCTCATATATGATACTCCACTGTGGAAGTACACTCACCTTTCCCCACCACCCCACCTCCCACCCCATTCCCTCTTTTAGACATGCTAATGTCACTAGGCCTTTCTCTGGGATGCCCACCATCCCTACTTCTTAGAATCCTGCATCTCCTTCAAGATTTGGCTCAGGGTCCACCTCCAACATGAGGCCTCATCATGTAATCAATTCAATTAGTTCCACCCTCGCCCCCAGTAGTCTCATATCTATGTTGTACTTTTTGTCTTCTATGTAATACATATGTATACACATATATGCTGCTTCCCCAGATAAAACAAGTGGTTCCTTGAGATCAGGGATTATTTCACCTTTATCTTTGTATTCCTGACATCTAGTACAGTGTTTAACACACAGTAGGCCTTTAATAAATATTCACTGATTGAGATATATCTGGCTAGAGTGAAAGACTCAAGATAGACAGAAATAGGGTGTGGTTAGAGAGGCAAGATAGACATGAGTTGTGGAACAATTTGAATGTCAAGCTGATGAATCAGTTCCCTAGTATACAGGCAATGGAAAGTCATGAGAGTTTTTTTTTTTAAGCAAAGGAGTTACACAACTAAATCTGTATTTAAAAAAAAAAGACCAATCTAGTAGGGATAGTAAGTACGGATCAGAATGTTTTTCCTTGGATTCAGGTAACAGGGAATAGTTTGGAGGTCTATTAAAATAGTTCAGGGATGAGATGACCAGGGCTGGCTTAGGTATAGTGCTGGTAATGGTAACAGAAATAAAGAGATATTCAGAGGAATTAGCACATTCAGGACACTGGGTTTGGAGCAGAGAGAACTGGGTTAGAATCCCTGCTCTAATATTTACTAGTCACTTCTCTCTGAGCTTCTTCATCTGCAAAATGGGAATAATAATATTCACATTACTTACCTCACGGGGATGGGGCAGGAAGGGCAGAGGAAGAGAAGGAATGGACTCAGACCTGTGATATCATTGTTACAGAGAACTTCTGATCAGGAAATGCTTTCCACCACTGAAAGGAAGCATCTGTTTGGTCACTTAGAGTCTTAGTTGCTTGGGGGCACTCAGAGGTTAAGTGAATTACCCAAGGACCCAAAACCAGCATGTTGAAGAGATGGGATTTCAGTTCAGGTCTTCCTGACTCTGAGGTTATCTCTCTATCCATATATCAGGCTGTAGAGCCTTGTGAAACTTAGGAGTTATATGTGTGAGTTGTTTTGATTATTTTTCCAATATTACCATTGGGGAAGCACACTAAGCTTCTCCACTTCCCACCCCTGATCCCTCTTTTGGAAATACAAAAAAAATCAGTGTTAAGAAGTGGAAAAAAGAATGAAAAGAAATTAGGGTAGTTTAAATTGGCACAGTATAGACATGAAGCTTAATTAAGAGATAATAAATGTTTACAAAGATTATCTCAGAAGTAGAAAATTAAAAAATGCAATTTTGCTAACAACAAACATTAACTGATCCACAGACAGTGACTCGAAATTTTGACTCATACAACAGAAGCAAGATGAAACTAAAAACCCTTCACTTAAAAATGGACCAACATAAGATCTTCATTTTTGTGTCAGCTATGGTAATCTCTAGTAAGAGCCAACTAAAAAGCAGCAAAAAAAGAGAGAAAAGCCAGGAGAGCCAAAATTATAACCAATTTAAAGAATTTTTATACCTGGGGACCTAAGAGAACAGTGAGACAGACAGAGATTACCATGAGACCAGAGATTACCACCTGACAAAAAGCTGAATTTTAAAAACGAAGTAGCTTACTTACAACAGGAAAACAATCTCTTTTCACTCAAGAAATTCACAAAGAATTCCAGAGACAAATGGGCAGTGGAGGGAGTCTGGGACCTGATATGAGGATCCTGGGAAGGATACATTTGGTATTGCATAGGCTCTTTCAGATACTTGAATGTCTTGGAAAACCAATATGGGTGGGGGTGGAGTGGGGGAATTAAGTACCTGAGAGAGTCTAATCTAGTTTAAAATCTAGCTTAATGGAAAAATTTCAGCATTTGGAAGGGAAAAGGGAATTGTTGAACTTTCTGGCCTTTACAATCATTCAGTCATGGTGGGCAAAAAAAATTACAGAGAGAATATAGTTGCAGTACATGATAAGATTTGTTGGGTTAGAGAAAGTACACTCTCCATAGTCATAACTCCACTGAACAAACAGTATATAGATTCAGAATGTCAATTTTGTTATAAATATGGCTAAAGGGATCATATGACTGTCTACTGATTATCTGACCAGTAGAATAATATTATTTTAAAGT